TATCCAATTTCTAAACTTTCTCTCAGCTCTAAATTCCTCATTTTATGATTGGACATAATTCAGATTTCATTCATTCCAAAATAATATTACCAGAACTTGCAAAATGTCTCTAATTGATAACATCTCATATGAAAGAAAATGAAAACCTTGAAATCACAATTGCCACCCTCTGCTGTGTTGTATGCCTATTAGAATTGTTTCACCAGACATTAGTCCATATTCTCATAGTTGGATACAAACAGCCAGAAAATAGAGATGGGGGAAATAAACAATAGGAATGACCTCTAGTGGGTTCATGGTCTAAAAATAGCACTGGTCAAACTGGTATGTTGTTTTTGTTATTTTGTTTGCTTGTACTTTTGTAAATATACATAAATTAGCTGCTATTCACTCCCTGCCTTGACATAGTGCTCCAGTTTACCCATTCACAGCCCTCCACATTCCCTTCTCCCTATTTCACCCTCTTGCTCCATAGCTCTGTTGTTAGGAGCATTCACCAAAATACAATTCTGCTCACCATTAATCCTTGTCTTCCCCTGCCCTCCACAGTACAATCGTCTCTCTATTTCATTCTTTGCCCCCACCATCTACAACCTGCACATATCTGTAGTCTCTCAGAGAAGCAGCTAGTTTTGTGCAAACCAACCTTTCTTTCCACTATTCACAATTATGGAGGAAATATCCTGTTCCTAATTGTAGGGGAAGGAGCTACAGAAGCTCTCACCATGGGAGATATCTGCTGCTATGCTTTAACAGAATTTCAGTTCTTATTTTTTAAAGAAGGACCAGAAATTCCTTCAAGCAACCTAAATTATTCTTTAACATTTTTGGGAATACTTATTCTGAACAAACCTTAGACAAAAATATGCAAAATATATCTAAGAAATCTAAAAAAAATATATTCTATATTTGTAATGGTTTTGCCCCAAAGATTTTTTTCAAAAATTAGACCAAATGCTTGCACTTAGACAATGATGACAGAAATCTAGTCAAATGAATTATATTAAATTGTATGAGATTGCAACGAGGCAAACAAGCATTTAAATATCTATGCTGACATAAATCAAACATTGCAAAAAAGTAAACATTAAGTTTCTTACAAAAATTGCAATGAAATAAAACTTCCAACGTTATAATAGCCTTTCTAATAATAAACATTTACCAAAATTCACCATCCTGGCAAAATAAACAAACAAACAAAAACAAAAAAACCAAACCAAACCAAAACAAAACAAAAACTTCCTAAAATAAGCTAGCACTGTATGAGGATGTTTTGTCTTGGAGAATGGCCTTCCCTTTATTGTTCCAAGTCATGTTCTTCTCTTAATGACCTGGTTTGTATTTGAAGTTTGGTGTGTGTGTGTGTGTGTGTGTGTGTGTGTGTGTGTGTGTGTGTGTGTGTGTGCTTGTATACAATAGATCACACTGAGACAAATGCTCGCATACCTGACACAAACATGGACCTGGTACTTGAGCAGCCTGTCTCCCTTCTCCCTTCTCTTATTAATACAAGGAGTAATCCCACAAGAAAACCTATAATCTTGAACTCTGAAAAACAAAATACATTCATCAATGTTTGAAAAGTAACCTCCAAGAAATGCATTCCTAAATCCTTTAAAATAAACAAATTAAGAGTCCAAGAATAGGAATTCAAGGAGATTTAAATTTGAATTAGCTTAACTACTTTTGACAACTTTACACATGAAAGACACCAAGATTGTATGTACTACTTGCTGCTTTAAGAAGTTTCATTCTGTCTGTCTATATAAAAAAAGTTTCAGCCAAAGTTAAATCAATCTCCTCTGCTGATTTTCAACATTAGACAAATACCCACCCACCCCCTCTTTTTGAACTCTGCTTTCAGCTTGACTTTTTCCCCAATTGAAATTCAGGCCCTCAATGGTTGGTTTTTCTTGGTTCTAAATGTTGATAAAAAAGGGTTTTCTCCACTCCCTCAATTTGATGTGACAGGCTTCTGACATGAATAATGGAAGCATTTCTTTCACAGGCAAATCAACTTAATTTAGTCAGCCTTTATACTCTCAGTGGGCAAGCCACAATCCCTGAGATTCCATGAGAGCCTTGAAGTTAGATGAAATCTTTAGAATTTGCACAAAATGTATAAAGTAAACAACACTTATTTTGTCACAATACTTGAATAACTTTTATGCAGGAGTTACAGATGAATATATTACTTCCTAATCAGATCCTGATTTACAAGCAATTTGTGATGAACCCTCTGCATTCAAGAAAAACAGTCCCTAGTAAGAAAACTAACAATTTTCTACACACATAAATTTTAAAGCATGTGGGTTGAAAACAAAACAAAGCAAAAAGGAGAGCAAAAGGAAATAATCTAATCCTTCCAAAACAGGCCAACAAAAACCAAGGTGCATATACTGGCTAGGGCTCAGGTGTTTATAAAAGCAATAGATCTAATTTGAAACAATTCTTTGAAGCAGAATCTTGGAGAACTAAAAGAGCAGCCATCAGATTTAAAAGCAATAGATCTACAGTCATTTCCATTTCCAAATTCAGGACACCATTATTCCCCTGAGAACTTCTCAGATCAGAAAAAAAGACATATTAATAATACATTCATGAAAGAAAGATGGGGCTCATAAAAATAAAACTAAGACATATGCCTTCTGAGTTGGCCAATGAAGAATGATTTAAAAATGAATGCAACCAGGCTTGGAGTGTACAGATTTTGCATTCCAACAGTCTCTAACAGAATATGGTAGTTGGCATTTGTCCTCTGGCCTTTGATGTCATTTATATAGTGGGAAGACTGCAAGGAAGAAAGGAACACAAAACTGGGAATCCAGAGACCTGCTCCAAGCTCAGCCAGAAAATTGCCTATTTGACCCTAGACAAGTCTTTTTTCCCATGTAAGCTTCTGATTCTTCTTTTTATCAAGAAAGGAGAAGTAGGTGATATTCCATAGACTTGTGACAAAAGTTCAAATGAGTAGTAATAAGGGTACAAGAGCATTGCATAATTCATAATATCTAAAGAAAACTTAGAACTCTGAGATTTGGGTTGGTAAAACAAATCAATCCTGAACTTCTCTAACAGCATTCTGTGTGTGTGTGTGTGTGTGTGTGTGTGTGTGTGTGTGTGTGTGTGTGTGTACACTTGCATTTGTAAAAGAGAATCCCAGCAACTGAGAGTTCTTTGGAACGCAGACAATTTTTGACAATTACTTTATTCTATCTCCACCCCCATTCTCTAGTGGTAAATATGGAGAGGACTGAATCTCCAACATGCTGGGCAACTGGTCTACCACTAAGGTCGACCTCCAGCCCAAATTCGAAGCTTTAAAAATATTTTGATTATTTTAAAATAATCAACTTCTTATACTATTTAAAAATGGTAAATAATAACTGAAGGAATCTTGCCTATATGCATACTCTTGAAATACTCTTAGTATATTACAATTTTCATCAAGCAAAGAAAAATCTGACTCTGTCAAAAGTATGCTTTCAGTAAAGACAGCTTCTGTTTTATTATTGAGATTTTTTTCATGAAGACATGTTCTAGTGAAAATTAGCTAGCATCTTTAATATCAGACTTTTGATATCATAATTTAATTTGTATGCTAATGTTGTGGGCTTCATAAACTAGGAAACTAACTGTTCCAGTACAAAGAGGAAAAGGTGCTTTAATTTCCTATAAACTCTTAGCTACAGAGAATTATTTCTACATATATGTCCTTTCAGAAAGTAAATAACCAGGTTTCTTTAAATCTTTACATCTTAACCCTCTTTCTCTCCCTGTCCCTCTCCCTCCCCCTACTCTCCCTCTTCTTCTGTCTCCTTTTCTATCTTCTTTTTCTTTCTTGAAATTTGCTAATCAGCCAATTAGGGATTCCAACAATTCTAAATGTCAGGGAACGAGGAGAGGAAAAAGGAATGGGAAAGTAGTCAAGGTAGAACAAAATCACTTCACTTTAAAGAGTGTCTACTGTTAACCCCTTAAAGAATTTACACTGCACCTTGATGGACTTGCTGTTCCCAGTCTCCGCCCTCCCACCTTCCTTCCCTATTATAATTGTTAGGTCAGTTAATTGGCTGATTAAGGATACCCTGGCATTTTTATTAACTGGCAATTAGAGTCAGACCCTGAGGCACAGAAGATCCTCCTGATTGGGGGTGTCACTTAGGTTATAAAGATTAATAAAGTCAAATGAGCTTTAAGATCTGGTTTAGTTAATCTTCTATATAGATATTTTAGCAACATCCATCACTCTAATATTATCTCAGTTGCTTTCAAGCTAAACTGAATTAATTCCAGAACAGCAATCATTTATCTTTAAAAACAAGAAAAAAGTACATATAGTAATATTGTGAAGATATGAAGTAGTCAAAAGCTGTAAAGATATCTTCACCTGCTAAACTGATGCTTCTTATACTTTAGTCACAATACTCCATTTCCTTTCTTTCAGGACCATCCCAATAGAAGACCCAAGTTCCTCATTAAATAAACCCACAAGAATATGATATGTGATATGCCCTAATCCCTTTAGCCTATGTAAATCCTCTCATACCCTCTTTCTATAACTTGTCTAAGAAAAGTTGGCACTTATGAAAAGCCATTGTACAGGATGGCCAGTTATGAGCAAAACAAATGTTCTCTTGTATTCCAAACAGTTTGTGCAATTATAAGAGGATGGTGTATCATATTAAAATGACTTGGATACAGAACTTTAGAATAAGAATATTCTGCAGAATCAATACTGACTATGCATGTAGTACTGAGAGGAAGAAATCCCAGGGAAATGGTAAAGGCAATGTAAAGCATAGTCTATACCCTAGACTTTGGATCAGATATGGCCCAAAGCAAAACTCCTGACTCTTCCACATACTTAAAAGTTGGGTTGGTCTAAGCTTATATGGGCCCTCAGTTTTTTTCATTTCTCTTTTTTTCTAGGAACATTTTAATAATAATTTAGAAAAGTATGTCCAATAAGTGGCATCTCATAGCATCTTAATAGAGAAGAATGTTACTTGTGCAAGACAGAATCTAATATAGCATTGCCAATAAACAAGGACATGCTCTTCAACAGCTAGGAAGAAAGACTACCAGAGCCAGAAGGTCCCAAAGGCACAAGAAGTCATTTTTGTTTTACATGTGAAATGGGAATAATAACAGAACTCACTTCATAGACTGAAGGAAAAAATAAAGAAACTATCAAAGCACTTTTTTCTCAGGCTTGGCACATAGTAAATGATCAATAAGCAACCACTATTACTGACATACACAGCTTTCTTCAATTTGCTATATGGTTGAGTAAGCTAACATACTTAGCATCATAAATAGTATAAGAACATGGAAAAACACAGAGGATAGAGATCAGAAAACATAATCTCAGCTTAGAAAGGGAAAATAAATTTGATCACAGTAAACCCATGGTTAGGAAATGTTTCATTTTGGGATCTAGGGTGATGTCAAGTTATCAGGACTTAGAAGGATTTGAGGTCTGCTCAACAACCATATATTCACAAAAGCTGCTACAATTTAGGATATTAAGGGTACCAGCTAATTTTCACTAGCACATGTCTTGATGAAAAATCTTAATAGTGAAACATAAGAATTACATGAGACAACTTGGCATCTCCTGAACACAGAGGTGAAAAGAATGGACTAAAGAGATGACTGTGGATTTTAATCTCTGCTGTTATTAGCTATTTGACATTAAGTAGTATAGTTAACCTCTTGTATTAGTTAATTCTGTTGCTATGATCAAATACCTGGCAACAAGCAACTCATGGGAGGAAGGATTTATTTGGCCCCAGAGTTTGAGAATACATTATATTATGGCTAGGAAGGTGTGGCAGCAGGAGTTGCTTCTAAGTGTGGCTGCAGGAAGGTGAGGCTGATTTCTTACATCTTGGCTGATTGGAAAGAGTAAAGCAAAGGATTTCACATTTTCCCATTCTTATTCAGTCTTGACTCCTCTCTGTGAGATGGTATCTCCCACATACAGATCAATGTTTTCCCCTTAAAGTTAACCTGCTCTGAAAAATCCCTCACAGACACACCCAAGAATATACCTCATCAGTGCTCTAGATTTTTCTTACCCCAGTCCAGTTGGCAAACAAAATTAACCATCACTCCTCTCTATTCCTCAATTTCTCTTCTTGTAAGACAAGATGATAATAAGTTCTAATTTATCATTGATGTAACGAACACTAAATAAGTTAATACTTGTAAAACATTGACAAGAGTGCCTTACAAGCCGGGCGGTGGTGGCGCACGCCTTTAATCCCAGCACTTGGGAGGCAGAGCCAGGCGGATCTCTGTGAGTTCGAGGCCAGCCTGGACTACCAAGTGAGTCCCAGGAGAGGCGCAAAGCTACACAGAGAAACCCTGTCTTGAAAAACCAAAAAAAAAAAAAAAAAAAAAAAAAGAGTGCCTTACAAAAGGGGTTATGCATAAAATTTGTTAAATAAGCAAAACTCACAAGGTCCTTAATAATGTTCAACTTGTCCTTCTGTTACTGACACCCTTTCTCCAAATGATGAACTTTGTGTGAGGTTTACAAGATGACAGTAGATCCTAGAAGACAAAATGTAAAACAGTGAAGGAACCAGCAGTAAAAATAAACTTGTACTTGATCCTTGGGAGAGCAGGCTCTGCACTTCTCCTGGGCCACACAATAGAGCCAACCCTATTGGTGGAGGTGCAGGTGAGTCAACCCTGAAGTTGTGAGTAGGGGAGAGCTGTCTCCATTACTCATCTGTCTTGTGGCACCATGGGGGGATGCCCTCCCCCCTCCTGCCTATCAATACCTGAAGCTGGTGGGAGAGCTGGCTCTGAGGTTACAAGAGCTGGAGAGCTGTCCCTGTCCCCTACTAGCTGCAACCCTTTGGAGAGCAGGCCCTGCACCTCACCTTGGCAGCACAATAGAGCCAAACCTATTGGTGGAGATGGGGGTGAGCCAGCCCTGAAGTGTGGTGATGTGGGTGGGGGGAGATGCACCCCCTTACACCTCACCTCTTACTGCCTGTGACAGACTAGTAAACTGACCCTCCCCCTTAGCAGCTGCAGCACTCAGGAAAGTGGACTTTGCACCTTGCCTGGCAGCACAGTAGAACTGACCCTGTTGGTGGAGGTGTGGGTGAGCTAGCCTGGAAGTTGTGAATACAGGAGAAAAGTCCCTGATACTCATTTGTCATGTGGCAGCATGGGCAGGGGAGAGATACCCTCCCCCCCCCCCAGCCCATCAACACTTGAGGCAAGTAGGAGAGCTGGCCCAGTCCCTCACCAGCGGCACTCAGGAGAGAGGCCCCTACACCTTGCCTGGACAACACAGTAGAGCTGGCCCTGAAGGTGTAGGTGTGGGAGAACCGACCCTGAGGATGTGAAAGAGGGAGAATTGGCCTCACCCCTTCCTCATCACTGCAAGGGGGTGAACTAGCCAGGACAATGCTGGAGAGCTCATCCTGGTGGTGAAGACAGGGAGAGCTGGAGGACTGACCAACCCAGCAGCTACCCAGGCCCAGAACCAGGGTTATATGTTGGCCCACCCCAATATCCACCCCATCTGTGATCTGCTGGAGCATGTGAGTAGAGGGGTGGGGTCAGTTATGTGGACCCAAGGCTGCAGGACCTTCATGACACAAGGCAGCAACAGGATGTTCAAGGAGAGTCCCAGTGATGGTCCAGCATTAATGATGTAGCTGAGACCAGAGGACTCAAACCAGACCAACGATTCTTTGCAATGAATGTCTGCGTGTAAAAATGTATGGATAAAGGGGTTTACTGCATGACTTACTGTGTCACACTGCAAGTTCCAGGATGAGATTTTTCCCTTTCTCCTTTTTTCCTTCTTTTTTCTCTTAAATTTTATTTTGTTTTATTCTGAGGGGGAGGGAAGTAGTTGGGATCCAGAGGCATGATGTGAAAGACACAAAGAATAAATAAAAAGAAAGTTAAAAAAAGAAAACTTGCACTTATCTCACTTTTCTGGTTTCCTAATCCACTATGCCACAGACACATGGTGACAGACAGACATGGTGACAGACAGACATCATATTATTAACTTTTTAATCCATGAAGAAAGGGGCAAGGACCAGTCTACCATGGGACAAAATTGGAAAGGCTGTGAAGTCTGTCTTTAAACCTTAATTCTTTCAGAGTCCTCTTCAACTCTCCTTTTCCTATGAGACACAAAATACACACTCCCTCCTTTAAGATGACCTAGGAGCTAAAGATATGGTCCAGTGGTTAAGAGAACTGGCTGCTCTTCCAGAGAACCCAGGTTCAATTCCCAGCACCCATATGGGGGCTCACAGACATCTGTAACTCCAGATCCAGGAGATAAATACCTTATTCTGATATTTGTGGGCACGAAGCACTCTTGTGGTACACAGACATAAGTGCAGAAAAAACATACATATGAAATAAAAATTAAAAACAAAATAATTTAGATGAAACAGAATGTGAGGGTTGGAAGGTCTATCACTGAGCTTTATGCCTTCTGACTATTGTGAGGTCACGTACCCACAGATTGGGGAAGTGACTTTAGTAAAATGGTTAAAGTCGTGTTTTCCCAATATCTTTAGACTCAATATAAAGTTGCATTTGAAAAGAATGGTGAACTGTTCTTATCTCAACATTTACCATTTGTATTCTTTGTAGACTGGCATGCCTTCCAGGAGTTTAAGCCCAATGCCACTTCATGATTTCTGAGGTGCTGTTTGCATCATGGGGCATTCCAATACAAATTGAGTGTCCTGATCAGTACATCTTGGTCTCTTCACTGCCCCTTGCCCAGATTTGCATACAAGAATTAGAGTGTAAGGGCATCTGAGGAGTAAAACTAAGTAGGAAATGCTGCCCTTTCAATGGTTGGGTTTTCTCTTTGAAAACATTTTGACAACGTATTTCTTCCCATAATTTTATTAGCTATCTATTAGTCTTCATTAGTCTTTTTACAGCAATTCAGTTACTATAGCAAGATTTCTCAAAGCAGAATTTTTACCCCAGCTATGAACCTAACAAACAACTACACAACTAGCCACTCCCCCCCAAAGAAACCATACCAAGAAGTGGAGACTGGAGAGATGGCCCAGGGTTTAAAAACAATTGTTTTTGCAGAGGATCTAGGTTCAGTTCTCAGCACCTTCAAAGTGACTTAGGACCATCCTTAAGTCCAGTTCCAGGGGATCTGGTGCCCTCTTCTGGCTTCAGTGGGCACCAGGCATGCTTGTGGTGCACATGCAGGCAAAACACTCGTATGTGTATGGCAGATAAATCTGTTTTAAAAAGAAGATTTAAAAAGTATCACAGCATACTAGTAGACTGGAAGAAAAGAATAAATAGAATTTAGAGATAAAAAGGGGGTTTCTGAGTTCAAACTTACCTCTTATTTTACATCTAAAGAAATGCAAGTCCAGGGTAGGAAAGTCACAGAATTATTCCAGGCTAGACCAAGATTTAGAGCACAGGTCTCCTGACTCTCCTGACTCCTGGTCAAGTGTTCTTTCCTTTGCACAGTCTGTAAGTTTCCATTTGCGTGAAATTTATTTGATCACCAATATAAGGCTTGAGATGTAGGTGAATCATCTTATCTCAGTGCATATGAATGGACTTAGTCTAATTTAAATTTACAGCCTCTCTGTATTAAACATGCTGCTTTCTTTTTTTTTTTTGTGGATTAAAAAAAAAATGAGCTGTAATTTGAGTTAAAACTGTTCCAGGAATTCCAAGTATAGAAAATGGATGCTGTTCATGAAGGTTAATTTTATGTCAAAAGAAACCTCCTAGGGGCAGTTACTCAGCACTCTACCTGTTATCATTTCATAATGCTTGATTTGAATTGAATTAAGAGTAGGTTTCCCCAGGGACTGTCTCTGACTCTTTTTCTCATGTTTGAGACCCTACTCCTCATACTGTGTCACCTTACCCTGCCTTGATACACGGGGAGGTGCTTAGTCTTACTATAACTAGATATGCCATGCTTTGGTGCTATCCAGGGGAGACCTGCCCTTTCCTGAACAGAGATGAGGAGTAGATTTTAGGGTGAGGACAGAGGGGGTAGGGAGGGACTGGGAGAAGAGGAGGGAGGGGAAACTGAGGCTAGGTTATAAAATAAATAGAGTAGGGCTC